ATATATATATATATATATATATATATATATATAAAGAAATTCAACCTTACATGAGTCTAAAAATAAATCGAGGGTAGACTTTCGCCATACAACCCTCATATAGCTGTAATTGCTCATAGACGCGAGAAACTGTGAGCTTGCCAAAAAAAACCGAGACATCCGAGCACTAAAATTAGCAGAAAGAAAGAACAGCAAAAATGATCCAAAAATTAAGAGAATGCGAAAGATTATCTAAACCTACTGTTTTGCTTTCAAATACGGTAAAGTGTTGTTCCAAACAGACTGCAGCGTAAGAAGCAACCTTTCTTTGTCCTCACTTTTACAAACAGAATCAATAAGGTCTGCCAAGTTCTAAAAAACTAACGTTAAACCTTAGCCAGTAGAAGACCTAATTAGAGATTATACAATACAAACTTCTGCCAGCAGTGTTAACGCCTGTATACTGAAAGTGGGATCACGTTTATTGCTGATGGAGTCCTTTATACTCGAGCGTAAGACAGGACTTGATTTCCTCTCCGAAAGCCCTGATAACGAATTGACTGTTGAAATATTTTGTGTGTCGAAAGTAGCTAGTCTAAATAGAAACGACTTAGATTAGAAACAAAGTTAAAACTGCCGATTATAAGATAATTCAGTACTTCCATATCAAATAAAGATATTTTAATTTAAAAATTTTGGTGTGCCCTCATTAAGTTGAAACAAGTGATGAGAGGAGAGCCAACTCTCTATAACTCAACAATCAGATCTCTTCTCAGTGCTTGAACAGAGGACTTTCAGTAGTATAAAATCTGCAGGTAGAACAGTCTTAATACATATAAGTCCAATAAGAACTATATTTACAACTTTCACATCCAGGCACGAGGCACCTGGATGCAAAGAAGAGAAAGCAGATCAAAACTCAAACAATTGCATAGAAATATACTTCGGAGGAACCAAAGAAGCTGTTGATCCTCTAAAAGAACTTGCTTCCGAAACATTTATCGAACTGGGAGTAGTTACGCTTTCAGAAACTGGGGAACCATCTTGCGATTTCAGCCCTAAAGAAGCAGGGTCAGTACCTGTAAATCATTCTGAAAAGTTGAAATCACAGCAGTATCTAATTGAAGAGTACAAAATCAATAGTGAAACAAAATTAAAGATATAAATAACGCTGAAATAAATAAATGATGACAGTAAAACGACCAGAGTCGTGTTTAACAACAAGGGTCCGTTTCAACCACGTCGTTTGTTCCAGCTGCCACCCAATAATCACGTTTACTGCATCTGTTAGCTTCTGACATGCATCCTGCATAGCACGAATTTCTTGTTTACCTTCAAACGTTGAGCTACTTCCACAGAAACGAACATAATCAGCAAGAATCCTAAACTAGTTAGTGTACCACTTTTATTGAAAGACAATTAATGAATTTTTAAGAGGTAGTGGAATGTGGCTTCCGCAGAAAATGTTAAAAATTCACAGAAAAAAATAAAAAATACATAAACTCAAGGAAGATAGCCCGAGGAGGCAAGTTTGATAGAGGTGATTCTGAAAACAATGACTGTAGTGGGCGCCAGCAGCTTAGTAACGAAGGACGAGACTGTGCTTTCAAGCAGCCGTGTAAGACTTCCAACAAGGCTGTTGCTTCAACACCATAAACGTTCTGAAACAGAACATACTGTAGTAACTTAGCAAATTTTTAGATGACATCCTGCTTTTTTGAAAGCAGGACTACAAAAAAACAGCACGTTGCTAAGGTAATAAATGAGCAAAAGCTCAAAAGATATCAACCAAATTATTTAAATAAACTTGTACTTTTTCGACAGCAGGCCCACTCTGTTTGCCCGATTTTCCAACACAGTCCTTTATTAGGTAAGTTACAGTAGAAACAAGGTTGTCAAACGAAAACTTCTCAATATTTAACAATAAGTTTGCAACATCCATCTGAGTATCGGTGTAAGTGAAAGAAACCTGGAACAAACGACTACTCCAGAAAGCACAAATAAAAAGACTTACCGGCACAGATTCTAGTAAACTCATCATAAAACTAAACCTCAGACTCGTTCACAGTACAAATTCGATCAGTAGAAAGACTACTCCTTGTAAGCCACACATATGATACAGCAGACAAAAAAGCCTGTTGGTAATTCTCTAATATCGGTGATAGAAAATCTAGAATTAGCCTCTTCAACTCCTAAAATAAAAAAATTGCAAATACAATATTTATTCGATTATAAACCCATTTGGAGCCTTCATCGTATGTAAAAGACCAGCATACCAGTCAATTAAATTTCAAATTAGAACCCTCTTTTCATAACCAGATCATATAAAACACCATAGCCACTTACTCCATGAACAATGCCTTTACTCTAAAATAAGCATCTTCAAATCGTAGAATAAAAAGAATTCACCACTGTACTGCCAATTGGCAAATTAGGGGCATTACCAGCTCGCAACAAAGACCATATATTACATACAGTTGCCAGAGTTACAGGGAAAGCATTCAACATCTTAACTTTTGCCTCCGTCCATGAGCCATCATCACGATCCACGTATTTCATTCGACTCGCTGTCTATAAAACAAACACAGTTAGTTAAAACAGCAGAAAACGACAAGTTGAGAAACTAGATTATTTAACTTGCTACGCCCGTATTATGAACCTGTAAGCTACTAATCGAACTAAAATGCACACCATAGACGAGCTGTCACTAAATAGGAAAGCTTTGAACACATTCGAAATCAAGTCGGTTGCGCCCTTTGTACCCGGGATTGCGCTCAACATTGAAGAAGATAAAGATGAAGACAGCGTCGGAACCTATTGTACAAAAAAATTAAACCTTTTTAAAATATGAGATTCTCATTAATTTATAAAATAAGCTTTCAAACCTGCAATAAAATAAAAGTTAAAAAAGTTTTTACTTGTGCTGCTGCAGCGTTCAAATGTGCACTCGTCGTTCCTGAAGCGGGTGATAAAGACTGAGGTGAAATTTCGAGAAGGCAAAAGTGGATAAAAGTTGTCAGTGTCTCAAAAGCCTGAAAATTTACTTATTTTATTTTTCATATTTATTATGCAGATAACGTGAAAACCTTTTTAAACAGTGCAAAACAATTTCAGAAAAACAACTTACACCAATAGCATAATTGGTTGGATATGATTGAACATCGTTTGGAGAAATGATCAAAGGAACGCGATGATCTTCAACAATAAAAGGTAATTCATCAGTTACATAAGCCTGATAAGCAACCCGCACTACATATTCAATGTTCTTTCTCAACTGTTCCACCACATAAGTAGAAAGAGTCGGTAATGATCTGCAAATATTAATTGCTTCCTCCCCAAAAGTAAAGCTTCACTTGAAAACAAACCTTTTGAATGATAAAATTCATCTCAGGTGAGGCCAAAAAAAGGCAAACTATGAGAGTAAGAATTTTAAAAGCAAGCGTAAGTAAAAACATACCTATCCAAAAATGGAAGAATTCTCAGGAGGAAAGATTGCCACTGTTTGTGCCGAAATGGTTGTTTTTTCAAAGCATTCATAACAGTTGCTAAAAACAACTTTAGCTCCACCATTGGGACATAAGGGTCCCTTAATGTTGATCTATGTGACGGAGAATTGTAAGCACGATTGCCAACAGCTTGTTTATCAGCATCGATACCATTGGAATCCTAATATACGACGCAGCTTAAACTGTGAACTCGGTTCTTTGAAAAAAAAAAAAAAGGAAAAAATTTTATTCAAATATTACCTCATCATTGAAATTTTTTAGTCCATTCTTAATATCAAGCTCAAGATGAATAACAGTAGCACTGAGATCCAGTAACGAACCCTGATAACTATTTATTAAATCACGAAATAGGTTTGCCGATTCTAAACAACCTTCATTGAACTCCAAAATGTCTGCCGATAAAGGTGCTCTGAAAAACAAATTCTCATCGTTAAAAGGCGTATACTTACAAAACAGAACCAAAAGTATCCATTTACAGTTAAATATGACGTATGATAAACCGCACATTTCTAAAAATGGGTTTTTAAGAATTCACAATTCTGAATAGTAAACACATCTAAGCACCCAAATTGCAACGTATAAATGTCTACATAAAAAGGTTATTTCCCCACTCATGCTGCTTAAGCGCACAAACTTTCCAAGTTTTGTGACTAAGACCAATTCAAAAGTGAGCAATCTTGATTTCTGTGAAGAGGAACATTTAGAATCTTTCTTCTTTCAAATACCAATGCGTGCTTTATCTAGATGTTGTTTCTCCAAAATATCATTCCCTTTTAATTTGTTGTCTATCCCATGTTCCTTAAATCAAAATATATTGCCAAAGACTAGAAAAAATAAAATTAGGAGGAGGTTTGCATGAACAAATACTTCCTTTTAAAGACACCTTACCTTTTACATAAATCTTGAATTCAGTAATAAAGAGCACGATTACACCCTTTAAAAAGACCATTTCAAAAAACAGAAAAATTAACAACTTTTCTTGTCGTTTAAACAAAATGTAACTTTTCTCACTCTATGAGCAAGGATCTGCAACGTAACTAAATTTTACAGGAAAACTACGCATCAACTGTTGGGTAAACGCCGTTCGACTTGAGACCGTATATTTATGTGATGAACAAAAAAAAAAAAAAGACAACTGGCCCTACAGGAACAACCGTTAAGGAAACTCTTTCATAAATTCAAAGCTTTCGTGCCTATACTATTAAGTAACATGTTCGCATTTGTAACACACGCCAAGCACTGACAATAATCATAGCTGAGAGGATGTCCATATATTTCTAAATTAAAAATGTGATTCAAATGTCGACCTTAGTTTTAACAGCACTCAATAAAGAACCTACTCAAAATCTCTTTATTCCAACCACTGAAGATCTGTAAAATCTTCATTATCTTAGAACCGATATTGAAATGGTTCACAATGTGCCAAAAAGTGAAACTGTGACTGATTTAAAAAAAAACTAGTCTCAAAGCTCTCTTTCACAAATTAGTCTACGGATTTTCCAGAGCCGTTCTCACAAAGACCACCACTGTCTATTAGCAATAAAAAAAAAGTACTGTAGATTCCAGCCTCCCAGTGCGCATGCGTATTTCCCAAGGCCGTTAACAAAACCAGAAAAATCGCTCAACTATCAGCTATGAAGGTTTTTAATAATCTCTTGCCAAACATAAAATAAACTTTTCAATTAAATCTGCCCAATGACTAATTTCTTACCTAGATGTTTAAAGATATACCGAAGATACAGTGAAATTAAAAGAACAATTTGTCACAGCAATTTTAAAATTTTTAGACATTACTGCCCCAAGTTGCGGGCAACAAAAGCCTCTGAGTAGGCCACAAAACGCAATGATTGAATAAATGAAAGGTTAATTACAAACATAAGTATATATAAGGCATTCTACGCCAAGCGGTGCACTTTTTCCTTTCATATTTCAAAATTTTTTTAGATCTTTCTGCCTAGTAAAATCTAGCCCACTATTTAGAAAGCCGGAAAAACTGCAAAAATGAATTCCCCGCCAAATTACACCTCCCTCAAAGCTGCAAAATATGCCAGGTTGCTGCTAGACTTGTCTACACTTGCAGACTCGTAATTTAGCTTGCTCCCGACAAAATTTAACAATTTCTAGTTCATTAAATTCGTCCCGTCCTGGAGGACTTTTAACACGTATTGAAGAATTTAACTCTGCTAGAAAAACTTTATAGAAACAGTAAAAACAAAATTCCAAACAAGTAAAAGAAAATGTACCTTTTGAATTTTTTTCAAAAATACATTTTGTGCAGGATTCTTCGCCCTGCAAAATATCTAAGTTTGATGATGAGTGATAGCTTTTTTTGGTATTGAGAGTTAAAACCGAAACCGGAAAAAATTCACCGCTATCACAGTAATGCCATGTATTTTACTACGGCAAAATCGTTCTGAACCATCTCTGAAAGCCGCAGGCAGTGGCTGTAAAAATCCGGTAGGTTTTAAATCTTGGGAGTATTTTATAAATGTTGTACCTTCTTCAGATAATATAAACAAATTATTATTCTGTAGAGTTTTAAGAAGCAGCCTTAATTCTAGTGCTTCCTGCTTCTTTTGCCTGACGCTATCAAAATTAAGAACCTAGTAAATATTTTGCAGTCAAAAGAAATTTTATGAACCTACTACTTGCACTGATTAGCTGCCAGATTAAAGCATCTCTTGAACCTTCTATATTTCTAGAGAGCTACAGCACATAATTTGAAAGAAAGAACGACAATTCCAGCTCCTGCTTGCTCGCAGGACCAAAACTTTAACGAGTACACTATGCACACAATTTTAAGAGCTCAAAAACTATGAAATACACGAAAGAGAAAGTACTGACTAAAGGCTACTCCTTAGAAATCATAGAGAATAACGAATGATTAATATTTTAAAATAAAATACGACTTTTCAACGAAACTTCTGACGGTCAAAATATTAGAGGTTTCCCTGCCGCTCTCTATAGCTTTTAAGAGCGCCTCAGAACTGTTCCGCCACTGTGAATAGGATTACTGTAAAAAATAGTGGGTTTTTTTCAATTTCACATTCGTTTCAGGCTCGTAACTCTTGATACCAAAAACGCACTTATCAAATCTAAATATTTTGTAAAGCAAAAAACTTTACACAAAATATGCCTTTTTAAAAAAAACTTAAAGATACTTTTTTTTTCCATATTTTCTGAAATCCTGATTTTATTGCATCTGTAAAACTTTCCAAGAAAATTAAATTCCTTAATATACATTTAAAAGAGCGGAACATAACAAATCTAAATTAACTGAGAGTCGTTGAATCTATCTAGAGCAAGAGAAATTAGAAGTCTGCAAACGTAGAAATATTTAGCGGCAACCTGGCAAATTTTGCAAGTTTGAGGGGGTGTAACTTGCCACGGAATTCATTTTTTAGGTCTTTTTTCAGCGTTCTGATACTGTACTAACTAGCCAAATTTTTAAGAAATGAGAAATTAGGAGAAAAAAGCGTGCGGTTTAGCATGGAATGATCCACATATATATATGGACCATTGCACGCCAAATCGCACAAGTTTAAACCTCGACCTCTCAGATTTTTTTCATTTTTTGCCAACTTGCAGCACTTAATACCGGATTTCAAAATTGAAAGAGTTTACATCAAAAAGCGCGTTGGCTGCAACATAGTCACCTTTAACAACTTATACGTCTCGCAGTTCGCAACAATTTTTTTTCATTTTTACTTTATTTGAAAGCTTGTCTCCTGCGAATTTAGAAAAATGCTAAAGATACTTAAATCAGCGAATTTTATTATGAATTAAAATAGAAACAAAGATTCAAAACGTTTTTTCTCAAAAAGTGACATTAAATTTTTTAAAAAAAACATTTTTTATAAAAGTAATTTTTACACAAAATATAAAAATCAAAAGGTGGTAACTTTACGAAAAGAACACTTACAGTAAGATTAGTGACAGCAGACTGCAAAAAACCCTCAATTGAAGTAGCGTTTTGGCGCTTTCGGAAGTCTTACAGTCTCTGTTTCAACC